AAAAAAAAAAAAAAATTTATATATAGCTCAAGTGTAGTATGCATAACAATAATGGAAGACGTTGACAAAGTTTCAATCAATAAATTTATTTCGTTGAGTCCACTGATCTCGAAAAAACCGAATCTATTGGCTTGAGTCTTAACAGATCATTTAAATTAGAAAAAATTTTATTTCCGGTACAATCCCATAAATTTGTATTATTCAATATGTTGTTTATTCCATATTATTTTTAAAACCATTCATAACATAAGGTTTGATGTAACATTCACGCAGAATCTGTCTATAAAACAAGTTCAAAAATTCATAGAGAATCAAGAAAAGTGTATGTTGCTCAAGTCTGAACGCCAATTATAATTCAATTTTATCATTTGAATTTCACATCTTATAGAGAAACCAATAACCTTGTTACAAGTCGTAACGTAGTATTAATACTGTGGAACAAATAAAAATACTGAAATTTATTGTATTAATAAGCAATGTACCCGACTTAAAATATGAATATGGATCCATAATCTCGAGGAGTATTACAAGATAAAAAAACAAGGTAGTGTATAATATCTTCACAAATTCTATAACTAAAGTTGCAGATAAAACATAATTAATGGAAGTCACGCAAATTTATTCCCATTGTGGAGAAAAGAACGAGGTGAAGGTAAGTGACAAGGATACAGAACGTCAGTAGATTATCATCCTACTTGCGGGCTGCGTTTATGTATATAGTATAGTGGAGCCCTCGTTGCATCGCAAAAACATAAATGAACCGCGCGGAATCGGTCATCAATTAGTCCAATTAATTTAGACGGATTATTCCAGCCATCGTGTTAAAAGTATGCTCTTTTTAAGTAGGAAAGCTTAGTTTGCCAGTCAAAAGTATTGTTGCAATTATTTAAACTGATTCCGTCAAACAAATTACCGAAATAAACTTACTTGTTTTGAAGTAGTGAAAAAGTTGTTCTTAAATTTCTTTAAATTTTTAACCTCAAAAAACGCTAATTAGGGAATTCTCAAAGAAACAAAACAGTTTGAATGTTATTTAAAAATTCAGAACAGGATTCATAAAATTCTTTTGAAATACACCTATGAATCGATAAGACAGATTTGTGTTTAAAAATTTGAGACCTCCATCTATCTGTATGATTTCAGGCTGCGCTTACATGCAATCTTATTTATTTAAGATTGGAAGACCCTGGAAAAATTTAAATTATGTTTGGATTTTAGTTTCTCAAAATAACCGTTTAATCCATCAAAAAAATCAATTTATACTTATAGTACCTATTATTGCATTAGCTATTATTTAAAAAAAAATTGGCAAAATGCAGTAAATTTTTATTTAACATTATTATGAACACAATAAATTGTGACAATGCTTTCTCACTCAAATGTCGGTAAATAATTTTTTCTTCTGGTTGAACCTATTACTTAGAGATATCTAAAACCAAAAGAAATTCAAACTTTTCCGGGATCTTCCAATCTTACATGAACAAGATTGCACGTAAGCGTAGCCTAAAATTTGGAGTTACACTGGTTCATTTCAGAAGCCATTGAATAAAAGATTGCATTTTTTATCATAGTATACATATAAAATAAAGTTAGTGATAATCGTTTATTATATTTTGCGATTCTACAACATACTTAATAACAAATAGATATGTTTGAGTTTCCAAAAGCTTTTGAACAATTGTTTGTTTATTGATCTTAAGTTTGATTTGTACATTATTTTTAGATGCGTGTGAACAGTTGAAGTCAATTTTTAAATTTTATACTTAGGTAAGGTATATGTTCGTAAAGCAAGAAACTTAATAAAAACGAAGTACAATGGCGCAGCAGATGACTATTTACTATCTACATGATATTGCACATACACTAGAGGCTACTACAGCACGCTTTAATTTTCGGTATCTTAGCCGATCAAAGCAGGAACAACAACTGATGTTCAAAATTATTTTTTTCTCTTTTAAAATTAGACTTTCTAAATTCTCACTTGATGATAAACTACAAATTAGATACACTTTTTACTCAACTTTTTTTCTCAGCCAACGATTGGCTAATACATATTTATATTATACCTTGCTCGGTATATTATACCTTCCTGAGGCGTAAGAAAATTTTTGTATAATGTTTTATGCTTTTACATGCTGAATAAAAGTTTGTTGTTGTTAAGTAATAAAGTTACATTTGTACTTTTTATTGTTTTTCTGTTTCATAAAATAAATATTCATCAAGTGGAAATTACTTCATCAAATATTGTGATCTGCGAGATCGATAACTATACGCTAACAGATTCAGTTTTTTCGAGATCCATGGGCTCTGTAAAGTAAATTCTTTCACTACAAAGTAATTACAAAATAATATGCCAATTTATATGCCTCATAAGCACATATGATCTGGTAACATTAGCTTTTTGAGATCAGTATAATGTATAAAATAAATTCTTTTACTGCATAAAATTTTTTATCTACTACATAGTATATAATGCCACAGAGATTTTTTTTGAGCCTGCATAATTTTTCTTTGATTTTGTGAGGCTAATACGTACATTTTTTTACCTACGTAATATTTTTTTATTTACTCATATCATATCACGCAAGCAGTTCACCTGTTTTCTCAAGTTTGATAGGCTCTACAAAATCAATTGATTTTTGCTACAAATTTACTACAGATTAGCTACAAGTAACTAGTATGTTTTACTGATATCGTCATTTATGTGATCTACTAGCGTGATATACTTAAATTTTCTTATTTTTTCCACCATAGCGCATTATCCATTATTGCAACCACATCGTGTGTAATATTAAGTTACCTGAAAACTGCGGTGTTGGTACTGTGGCTTTCTTTATTTGTTCTCGCACTTTATGCTAAGATAAATAAACTACTCTATTGCTTGAAATAAAGAATAGAGAAAGTCGATTGTTACAAGTTTCTAGTACATATAATAATTTATTTGAAAATAAAGCTTTTAAAATAATGTGTTTAAATAGGTATTTAAAAACTCAATTAAACTAAATTTTGAACAAATTTGTAATTGAGTTTATAAGTCAATAAAAACAGTTGACCTGCTTTATTTAAAGCATGCCTGATACACATCACTTTATTGGATTGTAAAATGCCTTTGTTATTAGTTCATGTACCAATTAATAAATTTTTAGCTAATAAAAATAATATTATAGCGCCAACTTACAGTTTTTAACTCTTAACTGTATTTTTAGATGATAATGTTTATGAAACAGTTATGAACTATGGATGTACATCAGATGTATTGATTAAATTGTTCCTTCTAATGACATTATTGTTTCTACTCATTTTGTTTATCATCTACATTTATTTGGATCATGGACGAACTAGAAAATATATCATGAAATTGCAAGGACCACCAGCATATCCAATTATTGGAAATCTCCTAATGTTTCTCGTTTCTTCTGGTAAGTTTCAATTCAAGAATGTTTGTGTTAATTAATGTAGTTCATTATTCTTACAACAGCAGTAATATTATTAAATTAAAAAAATAATTCGAAAAACCATTTCATTGTGATATAAATACATTTACAAGTTAAAGTTGTTACTTTTATGAAATAATAATATTTTCTACTTTGTCGTTCAAAACAATAAATTTGATTCCAATTTAAAAAACGTTCGAAAAAAACGCACAACAGAGAGTAAACATAAGTAAATGTAAGATTTTGAAAGTTACCATACAAGAGTGACAACGTTTTTCTGTTCTAATTAAAGATTAGAAAAAAATATGGTACACGATTTTAGCCCATGGTTCGTGCTCTGAATATAGTTTGATTGCAAGTTGAAGTAATAACAAAGTTTTTATAAAATTTTGGCTCTAAATCAACATCTAATAAGAACTTAATTAAATATTTATAAGAGTAGGGTTATTAGGTGGCAAAGTATTTTTAAATCTGTAAGGCTAATTTGATTCATTAATATAGATGCTTATGGAGAAATATCTTTTAATGTGATTTAGTCACTTATATCACATAAAATAACAATGAACTTTTGATTAGGTTTTTTTTGTACCGCAAAAATGTTTGGTGATTTTATTTGATTCTATAAAATACTTTGAGGATGTCTATGACAGAAGAAATTTGTTTATAGTCATAGAAGAAACTTCTAAAAATCACGTTTTTGCACGAGTGTGAAAGGGATAGATAACATACCAAAGTAGAATACACAGCATTACTCTAAAGTGGGGGATACAAGCCATTCACGGATCTTTATTTTATATTTATTTAGTAAATAGTATAGGAACCAGGTGGGTTCTATTCTTACCTGCTAAAATATTAAATATTATTAACAATTTTCATAGACTCATTAAAAAACTATACAACGTTTATGAAAAAAAGTTTTTTGAATTTTTAAAAAGTTTGTTTCTAAAAATTGCCCTGTAAGTAGTGCAGCAATCCACCATCAATAAGTTCGTAAAACTAATAAAAATACTTAAGAAAAACTTGGTTAATATTCAAATCAAAGGTGTACATCGTATTTTCACACTCATGCAGACTATAGGTAGCATAGCAAGGAGCGAAAAATATTCGAAGCTCATAATTAAAAAACAAAATTTTTGTTTCATTTTGAAAGTGATCAATTCTTATAGTGTGATCATTAATAAAAAAAACTCAAGCCATGCAGAGTAGCAAATAAATGTTCAACAATCGAAATATTTAACCGTTAAAAATCGCAATATTCCAATTTTTCAAAATTTTGCGTGTTTTTGACTGAAAAAGTATGACATTTAGACAAAAGCTGCAAGGAATANTGGTCGCAAAAAGTCTCATGCTGCGATTAACCTGTAATTTACTTATTTCTCTATGTAGACATTTTGGTAGAAGTATATTTTCAACATAGTTAGCTTTTTGCTCTGATTAATAAGTAACAGCCATAAGGAAACAATCGTATAAAACATACATAGTAAAAAAAAAATATTTACTTGCGATATTACAGATTTACAAGACCCTATTTAACATTTAAAAAACTTGAATATAAATATTTTTAATTGAAAAAGCCTCGGGAACCTACCTGGCTCCTACATTGAACTGACTGAGGAAAAATAGTCTCTTAAGCCCTTGTAACTTGTGACATAACAACTGTGCTCTAATCGTATAACTTGTTTTAAAAAGTCAATAATTTGTAGAACAGTTATGGCTTCTAATACGAAAACTAAACAAGGATTATTATCCGATATTTCGATTAACAAGTATGCACCTATCAGTGGTTAACATTCAACATCCTGACGATGCTGAGGTAAAAAATTTTACTTCTATTTCGGTTTTCATTAAGATTTTTAGGACTTAATTACCCTATGATTATAGGTGTTACTGAGTAGTACAACTCATATAGAGAAAAGTGCGTTGTACGATTTACTCCATCCTTGGTTTGGAACCGGCTTGTTAACTAGTGCAGGTACGTCTACTATGAACCTTTTTGAAACTTTATAATGTTTATTGCTACATTTTTGAAAAATTTTTTTTCAAATTTATTTCATTAAAATTAGTATCCAAGCTTGGCTCCCACATGTTAACGAGATTTTTTAGGAAATTTTTTCAGATTCTTGTAGTGCGATTTCATAAAAAATCATTGATATTGAGAGCTAGAGGTTTGTAACTTGCGAGACGACTATTAGTTTTTTTTTTTTTTTCTTTTAATGAGTCTCATGGACATTTGAAACCAAAATATTTTTGATCTTAAAAAAGATACAAAGTAGTTTTGGAAATTACTTTCGTGTAAGTTTTAAAATTTTTGCTCAAAAACGTTATTGTACAGAGAAAACAAAAACTAATACACTTTCCACCATTGGTGCAAAGTACAACTTCTGCACTGGAAGGGAGATATTTCACTACATTAAATTTGTGCTCGAATTTCAAATAACTTTTTTCTTTTCAAAGCCGAAAAGTGTTGTTTTGCGTGTATGGGCATACTTTTAGTTGTCTATCGCACACATTGCTTGCGACTACAGATGAAATTTCAAATACGGGCTATTCTGTACGATTTGAAAACGTTGTTTTTACTTTGCAGGTTCAAAGTGGCGGCACAGGAGGAAAATTTTGACGCCAGCTTTCCATTTTAATGTTCTAAAAAAATACGCAGAAATTATTTCCGAAAATAGTGAGAAACTCATCAAGTCATTGCATAACAAGAAAGAATCGGTTCAAAGTTTAACTCCGTTGATTACTAAATATTCTCTTAATGTCATTTGTGGTAAAGACTTTTTAAAAATAAATTTCCAAGTCTTTACAGTAAAAAGTAAATTATTTCACAGAAGCGGCAATGGGCATAAAAACAACAGGAAAAGAAGACTCGCAAAATAAATATAGAGAGGCCTTGCATAACTTGAGTGACATTTTAGTGTACAGGTAAAATTTATGTTACAAATCACTTTACCTTTAAGCTTTAAATAAAAACGTAAGAGACGTGCCTGTTACATTTAGCATCTGAGCTAAAAAGATTGCTACTCCTAAAATTGGTGAACTACATGGAGAGAGAAATCATGGAGCTATCGCATAATCAAGCCTAATGCGAATGTGACTAACCTACGTCCTTGAGTTAGATCTACTTTCATGATCTAACAGCAGGCTGTGACACGTAACCAAAACGCTTGTACAAATGCACACTGTGTTGACATCGAAACTCAAACGTTTAATCCTTATTGACTAATAAAATGAAATCATCTTACTCATTGGTTGGTTTTATACACACTTATCAGTTCAGTGCACAGACGTAGTAAAAGCATTATGCTTGTGGGCTAAATGTAAAGTGGTGATGGAGCTGAAATGTAGATTTTGCGCTGTAGAAAGTACAATTTGTGAGCTATTGTGGATTTGTTTACTTTGCTCTGAATGGGTTTTCCATTGCACACAGCTATTACGCGGCTTTATTACGTAATATGGGACTTTATAGACAACTACAGTGAGTCAAGAAATGTGACAGACAGTGACAGCTGGTAAAGTACTGTCATGATTGGCTGCACCATTTTTAAGACATATTACTTAATACAAATATAATTAGCATAATCCTAAGTATATATGGTACATACATCATGGACAATAGATTCCAAAAATCACTGTAGTTACGTGTTATAAAATGTTTCAAATGTGGAGATCTTCCGCCACACTGTTCTTCGACTCACTTTACATTCAACGTAAAACTAGAAAAAAAAATTATAGAAATTTTTTCAAGTATTATGCTATTGTCACAGATGTATGACACAAATGTTACGCTTTGTCATAGGAAAATTCGAAGTGATTTTCATGAAAGGGTCATTCACATGGTCAAAACAATGTTAAGTAAAGTAATTTTATTATGTTGCTGTAACGGTAAGATGTAATACAAAAACTAATCACCATCTAATTTGAGCTGTTGTATCGGGCTATATGCGATTATTTTTCTTAACTTTATTTTAATTGTATGAAATATGCAAGTGCGAGAATAACTGCACATATTTTTCACCACAATGCGAAATTCGCAGAAAAATGTTTGATTCACATTCAAAAGATTAAAAAAATGCTAAAACTATGAACATTATATTGCAGAAAGCCGGCAGAATAGCATCAGATCATGCTGGTTATCAATAATAACTGTCAACAATATTTGTAATAGGTATACTGTTGCTTATCGTACACAAGGAAACAAATGCATGAAATAAAAAAAGGTGAATTGTGGACACCTATAGACAAAAACTCCATCACCTTTTTTCGTTTAGCCCAAGGACAGTCACTAATTATGCTATAAAATAAACATAACTTTCTCTTAAAGTATCAAAACTTCTATAAAAGTGCATAGCCAATCGTATTGAATGGTCGCAAAAAGTCTCATGCTGCGATTAACCTGTAATTTACTTATTTCTCTATGTAGACATTTTGGTAGAAGTATATTTTCAACATAGTTAGCTTTTTGCTCTGATTAATAAGTAACAGCCATAAGGAAACAATCGTATAAAACATACATAGTAAAAAAAAAATATTTACTTGCGATATTACAGATTTACAAGACCCTATTTATACCCACATTGGATATTTAATAACACTCAGAAAGGCCGCCAGCAAAAAAAACTGCTGAAAGTATTACACGAGTTCACAACGCAAGTATGTCAACTTTGATAAATTATTTCCTCTTATTACGTTTCATAAACTTACACACAAATCAATGAATGAATGAAAATACAACCATGTAAATAACTTTTGTCCATATGTATTAAAAAACTAGAATTCAAAAATATTTTCACCATTTACAGTAAGATTTTTCAACTTAAAAAATAATAAATTAGTTTATTAAAAAACCAAAAAGATAAATCATAGTAACTGATAATAAAAATTAAGGAAGTTTAGATTATAGACTGAACGACATGTCAGAAAGTAAAAAAATAACAAACATCTGACAATAAATGGTGTAAATTAAAACTAGTTGAAACTTATAGCTTATGCCAGTTATTGTTTATTATTAATCAATATAAACTTTTTAAGCAACCAATAGAAATGTTTAGGAAACACAAATAATTATTCGTAAAAATCATTTATAGTAGTTATTTAATAAATTATGTTCTTCAATTTAGATTTTACAAAGCAATAATTTATAATTCATAATAACTATTAGAAATAGTAGCGAATAGCATATAAGATTAGTTTTGCTTGAGCAGTATATTACTTTTTTATTTAAATAACTAAGAAGCTTATATATCATTAAGGACTTACTAAATATAAATTTATAGATCATAAATGAAAGAAAAGACTACCATGATAAGACTAACGAGGAATTCTTAAAAGAACTAATTTCAGATGACTCAAATCAACAGTTAGTAAATGAGGAAGTTCATGGAAGTAAGTATCTATATAAATTAAACCAAAATTAGTAATTTTATTTTAAAAACTAAAAACTGTGGTATACATGACAAATATATGAGGGAAAAAAAGTATTTCCATTTTTTTAGGCGTATGGAATGAATCATGTTGTCTTAATTAACAATATAACTGGTAATACGTAAATCTGAGGCTTTTGAACAAAACTTTGCTGTGATCAACATTTTTCGTTTCAACTTTTTGGACTCCTTTCTGTGTCCCGTTTTTCTCGTCGATTTTTAATAAAATTTTTTTTGGGGCACACCCTCAAGATGGGGCTTATTTTTCTAATAATGTCGTGTTTATGATTTTTCCCCTGATTTGCAAACAAAATAAGCCCAGTTTCAATCATATGCCTCAAAAAAATTTTTAATTACAAAAAGGGGAACAAAAATGGGACATATTATGTATTATAGCCAATAGTTTACATTTATAAAACTAGAGAATCCAAATATCATTAATAAAAAAATATTTATAAACATTTGGTTTGGTTATTTGCAACTGTAACTTTTTCTAGTTCGCAAAAGACGCTTAGCAATGCTTGACCTTATGATTGCTGCCTACAAACATGGACAGATTGATGATCCAGGAATACGTGAAGAAGTAGATACATTTACATTTGAGGTGGGTAAAACTTTGAAACCGTCACGTAACTATTATTATTTTGTTTATAATAAGCTACTTATTATTTTATATCTATTTTTTATAAAAGGGACATGACACATCTGCAATGGCTTCGTGCTTTATTATATTATTACTTGCTGAACACCAAGACGTACAGGTGAATTTTATACAGTATACAATCATCTCTAATTCGAAAACCTATTTATTTTAAAACAAATAAAATTTCGGAGATTTCAACAGGTTATTTAGTTTATCCTTAGTTAGGCCTATACATTATTCGTTTTCTGTATTCATCTTACAACTTTACTCATATTAACAAAAATTAATCAAGACGAAAGTTTTTAATGAAAAAAAAAAAAAAAGGATTGTAATTATAAAATATTTTGGTCCAAACGAAAAAACTATAAAACCGTGATATTACAATTCAGTTAAAGTAATTGATTTCCATGTAAACGCATCAGATTTTTTTTACGTTTCGTACGCTCTAATATAATCCTTGCGTTATGATAAAATGTGGTATAATCACATCCATTCATTTTTTGTTTAGTTTAGATTAAAATTAAAATAACAAAGTAAATCATCTCAAAATAAATTTGGGTGATCAAACCAGAAGAGAATACTTAATTTTTTTAATTACATTACCAAAAAGAAAGACTGATTAATAAAAACGTTTTTTGACGGTCATGGACTCAGGATTAGTTGCTCTACACGCTATAGTCACCGCAGCTATTTAAGAACTTTTAAATGTTCTTGTAAATGTGTAGTCAATTTCTTCCATCACACATAAACATTAAATTCGACACTGCATTAATCGTATCTTTTCGGAAAAAACATCAAATTTCTGATATGTATAACTTGATTCTATATTATTTTCATCAGACAAAAGCACGAGCAGAAATTAATGAAGTATTTAACAAATCGAGTGGAAAAGTTAAAATGGAAGATCTGCAACAACTTCAATACCTTGAACGATGCATAAAAGAGTCACTTCGGCTGTACCCTAGTGTGCCTTTTATATCTCGAAGTATTACTGAAGATTTACATTTAAGTAAGAAATTTGTGACCACTTAACACTCCACTCTTTCAGTTATTATAGTTTTGATCATTAACATATTTTTTTTTAGAAAATTATCTTATACCAAAAGGAGCCATAGCACATGTTCATATTTATGATCTTCATAGGAATCCTTACATCTGGCCAGAACCAAATAAATATGATCCTGACAGATTTTTACCAGAAAATTCATGCAATCGCCATCCATTTGCTTTCTTACCATTTAGTGCTGGACCTCGTAATTGTATAGGTGAGTAGAGATACTCACTTATCTATTCTATTGAAGAGTGTATGTCTTACATGAGATCCCATTCGTACTTTGCAGGTCAAAAATTTGCAATGATGGAACTTAAGTCTCTGATTTCTCATCTACTTTATCATTTTTACTTGGAACCCATAGATCTTGCACACGAAGTTCCCATTACACCAGATTTGGTACTCCGACCTGCACGACCAATTCATGTTAAATTTGTTCCTATTCGATGATAAATATTGTATTTTTTTACTCTTTATTCTAGTTGTATCTAGCTTTTCTAGAATATAAAGAAATTTTAGATCTATTTTGTAAAATATAATAACAATGTTCTATGATAAACGATCGAAATCGTACGATTTACACGTAAATCACTATTGTAGAGCTTAGGGAGTTTTACAAAAATACGTAATTGATACTGAACTATATTTTTAAAGTGCTGCGAACTATTGTCATAACATGTTTTTAATCACATCACCCATGTAAGAAAATTATATAGTTTGATGATAAAAAAATATAATGGAAAATATAATATAATAGAAAAATGATCTTTAAAGCGATATTATCGATATTATGGGCATTATTATAAGTACGGACATTTTAATGGAGCTGCAACTTATTTTATTAATTAATATTTTTGATATACATAATTTTTCACTGAGACAAAATTTGTTGGGCTTAAATTAACTGCAATAGTATCATTCAATAGTAGTTATATGTCTAGTGCTGCATGTCGCTCAAAACATGCATTGACCCCAAGGGACTCCGTGTGCTTGGCCTGGTTTGATGTAGAACAGGTTCCAACTCTATTTTTCCTACTGAAGGTGCAGTAAACATCCAAAGAAAAAAAAAACGTCCTAAGTTTAAAAAAAATGTACTTGTTCGTGTCACTTACGAATGATATTACTTATCGATGAAGAGATTTATGAAAAATTCTTAGTAGGAAATTTTTATTATCGTATACAATACAAACTTTTGGTGGGATTACATTTGAAAAAAAAAAAAAAAAAAAAGGTTACGTAAAATTGGAACTATCCTTTATGCGTGTTCATCAAAAGGCGCTGTGAGCATTCGTTATCTACATTTATTTTTTAGGTTGATAAGGATTATCCTACTTTTAAAACTGGATAAACTCACCAAAATTTTCCTTGGATATTGGTATCTGGTGTTATCTACTGATTTGAATATTAGATAGTAAGTGCAGATCCAATAATGTTATGTGGCGTAAATGTTTTTATTTTTAAAAATAATTCCTAAAATGTATGAGAATTTGTTTACCATTTATAACAGTATATTAGTGTTTCAGATATTTTTTCCAACTTAAAAAGCTTTGCAATTTTTGTTTACGTTGCATTCAAAAACTGTCAAATTCGAGTATTCCCCTTTTAATTTTTTTACTAAAGTAAAATAGCAATTTGCAAATAACAGTGACACAAAAATTGATTAACATTGTATCAATTTATTAGGACTATATTGGACAACTATATTGGAAGAACTAGTGGTAATTCATCAGCTTAATAACACAATTTTCATCCATGACACCAAGTTATTAAGGTAAACAGTTTTTGAACCAGTTTTTCCAAAAACTCGTTTCTAGTTGCACTAAAAAACTTTGTATACACACATTATGGACTTACTATATTTATTATAATTTTTTATCTTCATTTACCATTTAGATGACAATGTTAAAACTTAAGAAAATTACAAAAAAAAATATTTTGTAACACTTAGTTTTACTTTTTATACATAATTTTTATTGATATTTGGACCTCACATATGGCATATTAATAGACTCCCTTCAATATTTACATATATCACCTTTCTTGCATAATTAAATAGTATTTAGATTTCTATATAGTGTAAATCTCTGATATAAAAAAACTGAGGTTTTCTTCCTCCATTGATTTGAAACTGCATATATATTACAATCATTACAGCATTTGTCATAAACACTTTGGTCGCAAAATCGATGTATTTATATTTTCTCATACACGTGGTGATAAAGATTATAGAAAATTGAATTAAAATTAACAGAAAAGTAAGCGAAATAACTAGTTCATTAAAAAAAAATATAATAACATAAATAATAATGACTGTCGCTTACTCACGGAAGTTTAAAGTAGGTTCGAAGAATTATTCACATTTTTGTTTACAAATCAACAAATTTTTAACACATATGTAATGTAGAAATAAAAATCAGCTGTTCAGTGTGATTTAAAGTAAAATATCGGAAAATAACATGGAAGAAATATTCGGAGCATAAGCAATGCGCAAAAAAAATCATTAATTGAGATCCAAATTTTATCGGATTACGAATCTCAATATATTCACGACATGCCAAAATATCTATGAATTAAATAAGCTAATAAAACCTTAAAAACTATAAACATTGCTTATTTTTTAAAAACTAAATTCACAAATAATATCATCGCAGAAATAAGTCTCCTGGTCTATATGTAACAATGTGATTTTTATTCGTTTTACCTCACTTATTAATGTCTAATGCTGTAAAACGAAAATTCTCGAATATATTAAAGTTAATGACTTAAAATCCGCAAGTTTCCAGAAACTATTTTGTTTTCTAAAATTGTGCCCGACGGGAGATCTATCCTTTCTCCTTGATTGGCAATAATAATCACAGTTCCTTTTAAAGTCACGTTTTTTCCAAATGTCACGTCACCAGAAACTGTTAAATGGTCCAGTTCCAAAATGTCGGGAATCGTTGGAAATCTTTCTAAGAACTCCTTTACCTGCAAAAATTACAGTACATGGTTTAGCTCTAGATTTTTCATTTAAGTGTGAAATGCTGTCAACCGCGTACGCACTTTTGAAAAGTGATGATCTCCAAGCTTGACTAATGGCGTGGTTGGAAACATACGACGTGGAGACATGACTAAGGAACCATTACGTAATGTGTACAAATTACTCATAACGAGCATCAAGTCGGATGTCTTCTTTACGGGTAAAAAGCGACTGCGTGGTACGTGAATGCCTGTATAAAAAAAATAACATTTAAAAAATAACTGTCCATCCTTAATTGATCAAGCAGAGCTTAGTTTTTTTTGTTACACTTAGCAATCTATTTTATTTATGAAAAACATGAAGTGTTAATAAATACATAACGGATAGTAAGAATTATATAAAAGTCCAGATTTGAGACAAGTCATACAGTTTAATAAGCAATTTTATTTTTATTATTAGTGAGTTTTTTTTTCATGATTGTGATTTTAGAAACATAGAGAAAAATAGTAAATGGAAAGAACTTTTATTGTTATCTGATACTTGATTTCAGAGCCAGTGAAATGAATAATATTGTGACATGCTTAAAATATCAATTGACAGATCGAAACTTGATAACTACTCTTCTCTATATTTTATTATAACTGTCATGAAATAACATTTTTATTTCCTTTAAAATATAAAAAAAAATTGTAAAAATCATTCCATTCAAGACAGGAAAATTTCCTTTTTCTTCGTATTAGAAATTTTTAATTCTATTAGATAAGCTTGTTGAATGATAAATTATAAGTCACTAAAAAATTATTCCCACAAAATACATACATTTTTTAGAAACCTTTTTCCTAAGAATAAACCCAGGAAACAGTTTTGTTATACGTGTAAGAACTTGCAAATTTATCATTTACATGCGATTTTAACCCCGTTTCTAAAATCCAAAGTTCAAATTAGATAGAAGTTAATGACAAAATACTAACCACAGCTGCCATTAAAACACTTCATAGCTGCACCTACAGCAGTTTCAAGCTGAATAATGTTTAAGCCATTTTCGAATGTTTTGTTGTTAATGATGATTTCCAGGTCAAGTTTGGATTGACTTAAAACTCTATTGATGGCTGAAACGAAACATATTTACTCTAACGAAAAAATTGTTTTTTTTTAATTTCAATCCAGATTTTTACATAAGTTTTCATTATAATCAAAATTTTTTTATAAGTGTGAAGTTTATTGTAAAGCATGAAAACTCTTACCTTCAAGTTTAATCCATAAATTATTAGTATTAAAGTATTTAAATGTTTTGACAGATTTGAAATCTTCAGCATGTTCTTTGGGAACTTGTGCGATCTCCAGCAATCGCAGCTTATTTTCATACTGAATAAGGGTACCACCCTAAAAACGATATCAGTGTCAATATACCACAAAATTAAAGATCTTTCATAACAAAATTTTTAACATCTTTTTAGGTGTATCTAGTACAATAAAAATTTCATAAAAAGGGCTCACTTTAACGTCTGCTCTTGTTTTATCAGTGACTTCCATCAAAAATTCTATTTCCCCACATTTCTCTGGACCTAATAAAAATCTCAAAATTTGGAAATCTACTGTGGCACCAAGGTTATCAATATTAGAAATAAAACAATATTGACGTCCCTAAGAAAAAAAAAAATTTTTACTCTCAGTAAAAGTGCATGAAACATCATAATTTTGATTGAATCGATAATTACTTGACTTATTAAAAGTTTCAACAGGCCAGAGTTTTTAAAACTTTCATAAAAGTCACCGTGTCCTGGAGGATACCACCTACATGAATGTTTATTAATATAAAACTTTAATTTTGATTCCAACGAATTATATTCCACTAATTTTGTTGCTTATTAATTGATTTTAGTTTTCGTTTTAGCTAATGAGTTCAATAATTTTTGTAATCAGATTACTCACGATTCAATGTCTTCATGCACGTTACCATGTTTGGCAATCGGCAACAGAGATTCCTTGTTAATGCGAGGATAACAGCTTTGGTTGAAAGTGTGGATCTCAATGTCGATTCCTTTGTACTTTCTGATGACTCTTTGCGTATCGTCATCAGTATTGAATGAATTCATTAAAACTAAAGGCACATTCGAACCGTAAGTTTTATTTAAATTCTAAAAAGCATAGTATATTTATGTTAAAACTGTAACTACAAATAATAATAATAATAATAATAATAATAATAATAATAATAATAATAATAATAATAACAATAGTAATAATAATCTAATTTAAACATAAAGCATATTTATGGACGTTAATATGTTAACAAATGCTGTGTAGTCTTTTAAGTTTTTGTCTCCCTCATAGCTCTCAACAATTAAACAGTTTTTTTTCTTGTAAGTTCGCAACGTTGGGATTTTAAGTTTTGAAAGTGATGAAAAAACGTGAAAGATATTTAAGGATAAATTTTGTAAGTCATGAAAATAACATAGACGCACTTGTTTCTTATTACTTTCCAACGTTAACAGAAGAATTAATATAAAAAATATATCTTACGTTAATGTAAAGCTGTTTGAAACCCTTAATGACATTAGTTGAAGGTTGTGACATATTTTTCGTGTAATTGAAAACGATTCATTAAATCAATTACGGTCTGGATACGACTCAGAGTCTCAATTTCTTTCTAAATCGTTGTTTAAAGCTTATTCTAAAAATAAGTTTTCTTGTAGTTTCTATTTGGATTAAACTTTTTAAAAATATTTATCAATGAAGGTCCAAAATAAAATTTAAAAAAAAAAACCTTAAGTCAGATACACGTTTTTCATGAATTTAATGCTTGTATTAAATACATTCAATCAGATTAACAATGAATCTGAATCAAGCCTAAATTGGGAGTATATTCGTCGTGGATCCAATTAATTTTCAAACAAATTAAGTAAAAAATTTAATTAATCCTCATGTAAAAGTGAGGCACTGTATCTTTATGCCACAACTTAAAAGACAAATTTTGATTCATACAGTTTTTAGTATCACTTTTTATCGTAAATTTTTATTCTTACATCACTTTTGAATTACCAATTTTCAGTGATGATTAAGCCTTGAGTAGTAACTTCAAAATTTGACCTTATTTTTTAAATCTATTTTTTATTAGCGATTTTTAACTAGATTTTTTTTTCATACATTATAAATCGAGAAAAATAGATCACACTGATTCCTATTTAGTAAATCGATAAACTTTGTTAAAGTTTATCATCACTGATTCATAAATTTGGAGGAAATGCTCCTAACAAAAACTATAAATATATTTATAAACTCATAATTGATTTAAAATACAAGTAAAATATTTGGCTGGAAGGAATATATTCAATTTTAATTTGAAATTGAAAAAATTTTATGTTCATAGGCAGCTGTGTCTCGATAAACAGTTGAATTTATTAAAAATTTCAACTATGTATCAACTTTTCCTGTTGTATCTTTCATATTCTCTTATCATCTTTCCAACTACTACTAAAATATTACTAATTGTGAGTAACAAAAAATAACAGTGGAACATCTCAAAGGTTGCGAGCAAACAACTTGCAATAGTAACTTAAATATTGTTTTTTTTTTAAATAAATGTACTAATTTTATAACCCACTGTTTATTATCACTTGTTTTGGACATTTAAAAAACCGGTTACGAAAACTTACTTTTTTCATTATAGTTTAACCAGCATCTATGGTATAAATAACACATAGTGTGGATAACATTACAAATATTTTAACTTAATGGGTAAATATTTCTATCACATTTCACTATACTTCAAAAAGTAAAGAATTTTGAGATTTATCAAGTAAAACAAAATTGAAACTATTTTTAAAATTCTGTGTACTGAAAAAAACGTGAAAATAAAATGCAAACTAAAAGTCTCTAAAAATATAATTGCCTTGCCTCGCTCTAACATTCATACAAAACAATATTACTACTTCTTATTTTACCCACGATGAAGTAATAGTATATTTTTATCACCTCTATTTGCTGTACAGTCAAGTCCAAAAATGTTAGCCCATTACGAACGGTAATGACGGACTTCGGACCGTGGCAACCCATACTAGTTCCAAGACCACCATTTAACTTAATCACAACTAATTTACTCAACAGCTGTTTTATTTCTTCCGAACTGGGATCTGAGAGTTCCTCATAGTCTTTGATCTAAAAATACAAAATCACAGTGATGATTTTGCAGTATGCGTTGGCAACAAAAATAACAAGCCAACCAGACTGTAATTTGTTTTTAATTTCGTTTCTTACATTTTCTCACTGTACCAGATTAAATAAGGTATCATTGACAGCACCAAGATATACTACAAAGCTGTATTGACTATGTTGTATTTCATAGTTAAGTCGTTGGTACTGTCATTACACACAGACGACAAAATGTTCGAAACTTACTGCGCCATCAGGAAGCTTTTGAATTTGATCCCAATCGAGGGGAGCGCCACCCTCCTCGAGGAACCTTTCAAACAATCGTTTGAAGCCATTAAGAGTTGCTTCCAGTTCAGACGTAGGATCCGTACCCCCGATCTTGCTTAGCTCAGTGTCAAGATGTATGAGCGCATCACGTTTTGTTTTCTCTTTGAAAGCTTGTGTATCTGATGGACTACGCTGATGGCCTCGAGCCTACAATAAATACGTAATGATTAAAGCCCACGATGATAACCAAGTTGAGCCAAAATTGTTATTAGTAATATGGAAATTTTAAGTATTAACTTATTTTTAAAAAAAAATNAAACTTTAAAGTAATGAAAAAATAATGTATTATTTTATAAGTTATATTTTTTGATAAAACATAAGTTTTAAATACTTTTAACGGCCAACTACTCGAAGAATACTAATTTATCGAAAAAAACTACAATAACTTGTAAACAGTATGTATTTTCGATTCTTTGAGACATTTCATACGAAATATTTATCATTTTTCATGATCAGTTATATTCAAAAAAATTAATAGTACAACATTGTCAAATACTGGGCTGAAAGAAGAGTACATACCAAGTAACAGTATTATTTTTATTAATTTTTCATGTAATGGCTAACGATTCTTAATTTTAGTAAATTGAATAATACTTTTATAGGAAGGAGAAAAAAAACTCAAGCCACTGTCAAGACTCCATAGAAATGTCTTGAAAACGTAAGTATGTATTGCTCAAAAAATTTATTGAGAGTTGTACATGCGATAGCAAATACTTTACGAAACATCAATACTCAATACATATAAGCGAACTATAAAATAAAAACATACATTTACAAATAAAAAATAAATAAAAGTTGAGAACCGCAACNAAAACATAAAAAATTTGACTGAAAACCCAATATTTTTAATTAAAAAATTTAATTACAAAACATTTGCACTGACAACCGTATTTCATTGTATACCGATTACGATGACTTTTATTTTTTATTAAAGTGATTAAAAGTACATTAGGCCACAAGAGATAAAAGTACTTTATTCGCTCCCAGGTGCGTGATTTTGGAAAGTACCCGGGAGTCCATGCCGTACTTTTGTTACGAGTAGCGTATACGATTTTTCACCTTCCTCCGTCGTAATATGACGTTTTTTCCTCGATTTCAAGGGGGAGGGTGCAACATAAGCTCTCAGGTAAGAATCGCATGCTCTGCCCACTAGAAAAGTATTTTGGCGTTATCTGCGTGGAAATTGACTCCCAAACTGTAGGCAAGGGTGTCAAACAAGCAAATTGTAGAAAAATACTTTTCTATGAGGAAATAATGCATATTTTACCTTGGAGCTTATGTTGCGCTTTTGTCCCTGGTGTTAGGCAAGAATCATCATCTTTTAGCAAGGAGAATGGTAAAAAAAAGTTTGTTTTTTTTTATGACTGTAGTATTTGATGAAGATATTCAAATAATTCATCAGCAATAAAGATAATTAATGTTTTATTTCAACTACTGCTTCGACATTATTGTAAAGTAAGTAATAATTCTATTTTTAATTCGATGACAATGTCATTAGTAAATTAATGAAATCACTTTGATCAATTGAAAATGTTATTGAAGACACGTCTTTAAATAGACTAATGGAAAAACTTTTTTAATATTCCAGGCCCGAGTTCTGAGTAAAAAAAATTTTAGATCGGTTAGGGATTATCACTTAAAAAAGGAACATAAAGTATACGGTTTACACTGATAGAATGGACGTAAAGTATTTTTAAAAAACTACTATTTCAATTTCTAGCTTCTTTTTCTTCGTGTACTATTCTCAAACACCTTTGCTATAATCGCTTTTTAAACAAATGTTGTTCATCAAAATAATGAAGATAAATCATATTTTATTTTGAATCACAATAATTAGAGAATTTTTTTGAGAACTTTATTTAATAGAAGTAATTAATTGACCTAGTTAATTAAATTAAAAATTATTCAAAAAACTTAAGAGAATTTTAAATTCCTTAAATATTGTCCACCCCCTAGTTAAAAATCAAAATATTGTTTATTAATTTACTTATTTCCTTTTGTGCCTGTAACTTCGCTTAATATTTTTCATCTGAAGTTACATTGCTTTAAAACAAGTAAACATTTAATAAATAAAGTATTAGCTAGTTCCAATAATTGTATTTCTTTTAGGCCTTTAATAATGATTTTTTTACAATCATTTAAAAGATACAATTTAAACTTGTTATAACTGCATTTGGTTTTTTGTTCAATTTTTTGAACAAATAAAATATCAGAAATGTTCTTCAAATATTCGCCATTTCATAGAATTTACATTAAGTAAATAGGTAATTTTTAGAAAGTAAGAACTGTTTAAACATGGCTATAACAATTTTTTTCAACCAATTTTTCAAATCTGAATGGATTTCTTGTTATCTGCAGTGGTAATGTTTTGTTCACCACAAAAAAGCTTTTTTCATATTTTGAAAGAAATTTAATTAATTCATCGTTTTTCATTTATTTCAAAAAATGCTTCATTCAAGCATTTAAAATCTAAAAACTAATAAACTAAGGGTGAGTAAAATAACAGCAACAACAAAATTCACAAATATTTGCTTCAACAAGTTTTCAGTGTTGGTTAAATTTTTTTAACAATTAGTTTAATAAATTTCTTAGAAAACGACTATGCCACAGTCGATCCCTTTTCATTTATTAGTGACCTTTGATACTGAAATTGGAGAGAAATTTAAAAATCGGGAATCTCGGTTTAACTGAGGCTCTTTGGGACGAGCCTGGGCTCCTGCTCCCCTCTCCTTATTCAAGTCTTATTTGAGCTTATCGGTTATTAGATATCAGTCTTAGCCTTAAAAAAGCTTTAAGAGTTCTCTCTGCTCACTACGACAATCGCACTACAAACTTCGTTCTCTCTCTCTCTCTCTCTTTATGTTATCGTCACTTATCTGTTATGACTTGGGGGGGGGGGAGGGCATGTATCTTATATACAGCCGCCTAGCAGATAGTCAGCCGAAGATTAAGTAGTGTGTATACGTATGATATAACTGCTTGTATTAACTTTCCGGCAAGTGTCTGGCCAGAAAATTTAAGATTTATCAAGTACCCCAAACAGGTGCTTAACGTAAGGAGCTGTTATATAAGCCTTACTAATGAGTCTATCAACAAGTCCAGGATAAAATACCATAGATAGAGTGGTAGTTTACCTCCGATTGATTGGACTTGAAAATAATGATTCTAAAGATATGAGTAAAATCCGTTCTTATTATTATCGAAATGTTAAATTTTCATTAATATATTCGTTACATTTTTAAGCATGACTGCTCCACAAAAGCGCTTTGTACTTTCACTACAGCAACAAGTGTAACCATCCACAAATCTTTTACTTTTAATTTTTTAATGTAAAACAAATTTGGTAAGTAGCTAATGAAAGTGATCCAAGATCCGATAAGTTCCAAAGTGTATGTATATTGTATGTTGGAAGAAATGTCAATCGACGATCTTTAAAAATATAATAAATATATGACGTAAATGTTTTAGGCCTATACACAGTTGAAAAAAAATGTGGATCTAAAAAAAATTAAACTTTTGAGCACTTATAATATGTAGAAGCAAAAAGGTATTTTCATGCCCGTACACCAAAAAAAGTAACATAATACAGTTTGAAAAATCTTTTTTTTGGGTACCTACATATTACAAACTCAAAAACTTATGCATCCGACGTCAAAGAAAAAATTGTAGCTCTCAAAAACAAAAAAAAATAATTTTTCAAACATTTTTATTTATTTTTCCAGAACCATGCCAATACCTGAAAAATTAAAAAAAAAATGTTTAAATATGAAAAACATCTTTTTTGCTATACCTCTTATAGTTTTTATTAAAGGTGTGTGTATGGTCGAAAAAATATAGATCTTGATGAAATGCACCGTTTTTTCATTGTTTATTTTATTCAAACTACAATTACAATGTATTACAATAGATATTTGTGGTCTAAATAACAATATTTAGAAAAAATAGCTTAAAACTTATTTAATACTGCTAATGTTGATGAATTAAAATAATTTTAAAATTCACATGTATGTGGTTATACTTTTTGCTCTGATAGAAAATTTAGCAGTTGGGCCTTAGATGCAAAAATTAAACTTCTTGTTGTAGAAGCCACTTGTTGAAAATATATTTTTTCAAGAAAATAAAATTTTTTGTTAACAACTAGAATGATTGTTTGATGAAAACATAAAAAATTTGCATACATATGATACAATTTTACTGATGAACTAAAAAATACAATTTGTTAAGTAAGTATTAAAAAAATTATACTATTACGTTACCTCATGTGTACATTACTATATTGATTCATTTATTTTTTAACGTCTAACAACAGAAAATATTTGAAAAATTATTTTTAGACAATTTTTACAGTTGAAAGCATGAATGCTGACATTAATACGTACGTGCATTACACAGCGTATAAACAAGGGTTATTATCAATAGTACGACTCACAATTGGGTAAGCAGGAAAAAAAATTAGGTAAAATCGATAAACCTTGTGGAAATTTTTTATTTTTTACTAGCGATGAAACCAGCCAGCAAAAACATACAATTTTTCTGTCGATTGAACTTCCTGATCATTATTGCAGAGAATTTTAGATATATATGATTAATAACATAACACACACTCATTAGTACGTTTATCTTTGTTTTCAGCAAAAGTCGAGGCAAAAGTTCAATGCTTATTTCAATATTTAATTTTTAAATAGCTTTCCATCAAAATTTGGAAATTTCAACGAAACTCTAGATGTTAAAATCTAATAAGTAACTAATAATAAAGACGTACTTCAAAGTTCAACATGTACTCCTATACATACGGATGACTTTAAAAAGTTAAAGGTGATAAGTTATTTACACTTTTATCACTTGTCTCGCTCATCATAATACTTGATTATCTTATCCATCACATTTTTAAAGAGCTGAAAACCCAAAAAAAAAATTCTTGATACCAACCACAGTAATTTTTGTCACAACTAGGAAGAAACATAATAATAAATTATCATAATTTTAAGATTACCCAATGGGCTATTCAATGAAAAAATCTTAACTACTTGGCTGCTACCCTCATGTCATAAGTTATCAATATCGTTGGGCAATAAATTTTCTTCTTTTTCGTTCTTTAAACTCTCTTTTCTTTCGGGTAATATCAATTTTCTTCCACTCTCATACAT